GAAAATCTACACCTTAAACGCAACCTGCAAGCAAATGTCGATAAACTGAATGAGGCCCTTAAAGTGGTAGACATGATACAACATCTAATGATCAATGCAGGACAACTACATAACAGTCGTCGTATTCCGGTCGCCATGTTAGAAAAACCTAAAGATTTTTATGATATAGAAGAGGAATCTCCACCCCAACAATCCCAATTTTAATTATGAATAATACAATAATTAATCCGTTTAATATAGTACCTAATCGACCAAACACTTTACATACCCTTAACATAATCACTCACAACGTTCTCTCATTTAAAGACACTGTCAAACAACAATTATTAATGAATCTATATAAACAATACAATGCTAATATTATTGTACTTTAAGATATCAAACTAACATATTCAACAATTCACGCCCTCAAACTCACCTTAGACAAATCCTATACTATCTTAACAAATACCCAATTAGATCCTAACGAACATAACACCAGAGTCGCATTAATATTTAAAAAATATATAGCTGATCACATCTTTAACAACAGTGGTTTTTGGGGAAGGATCATCTATGTAAACATCCAACTTCAAAATAAATATCGTATTCATGTTATCAATTCGTATATTACCCCCTCAGACAATACTCTTCGAAAAAAATTATATTCAAAATTATCCTTTCTATTTAGCCAAGCAGCTGAGCTTTCTATGCAGGTGATCTTTATTGGCGATCTTAACGCTGAACCTAGAAGGCACATCAATCCTAAACATTCTAATCAATTTTTTCGCAACCTGGCAAATTGCAACCTATTTAATATTGGAGATATCTGCTATGATGATGCTAACATAAGACTCCCTACCTTCCATAGAAATGGCTGCAACCCAAGTAGAATCGATTATATATACTGCTTCACCGAATTAGCTACGCAAACAATCAGATTATCTTCTACTCCAACAGATCTTTCTGACCACTATTTACTTATTGCTACCTTGGAATGTCCGGAACTAGTAACCAAAAAATCATCCTCTCCAATCAAAAAAAAGTATTTTGACATAGATAATATGAATCAAGAGACCT